GGTTTTCCTTGTCTGACCTTGACATTATATTGCTCTAAACAGTTTTTTTTAGGTTATGGTTCCCGGAGTAGCAACTAGTTTATGGAATTTCAGAAGAAATATATGACGCTTAGTGGTAGCTGTTTTGACTAGTTCGTTCAGTGCTGTCGTACATCATTAGGTGAAAGCTGATTGAAGCTTCAGCTTTGAATAGGCAGACTAAGTAACATTATCACAGTACTCACAATCTTGTTTAGCACGTAAATTGATAAAAATAACAATGATAATACAGAAGTTTTGCCAACAGTTTGTTTTTGTAGTCATTATCGAATTTGGGAAATGAAAGGTAGTTTGAAAATAAGGCTGACGAAGGAATTCTGTAACGCGTATATTGGACTCCTCTCCTCCCCGATTGGTCCACGATGCTACCTGGTGCCTTTGGTTTGGCAAAGAAGTGGAACATTAGGCGGAGAGGCCACTTATGCAGAAGACTGTGGATGCAATTTTTTTTTAAACTTTGTGATGATATGGCAGTCTCCATTCGTTGAATAATTTGTAGAACTTACTAGTCAGTCAATGGATTAGAAACTCGTCGACTGGCATGCTATTACTTTCAGGGTAGTGCGGGATCATAGGTTTGGATAATTCAAAAATTAATTTCACTAAAGCTCAGTTTTTAGCTTCGTTGCTGGCCTGAGTGACAGTATCGCGCATGCTGCCTACATGCAATGGTTTCTGCGGTGAGAATAGGCAGCCTTTTTCGTGAGTGAAATTTGACTAGAAAGGCGAAGGTTAAGTTAGCCATCTAAACCATGTAAAATGTCGTTGTCGGATGTTCGAGTTTGATGAAATGCACAGTCGTATCTTGAGTTCTTTGGACAAATCTAGGTTGCCAAGTTGCTGGCTTAGAAAGCTTACAAGGGGTGATTAGCTATCGCTTTTTTCAATGTGTCTTAATTCTGTGAATTCTCAGATCAGTTTAATTGGCTCCTCTAATTACGTATTGGTTCAAGCAGTTGTATCTGCTGCTTCCTTTCAGCTAGCTTACTACGTTGCTTTGGGATGAGTAATTTGCTGTGGCTTTGCATTATGAGTTTGTGTACTGTGTTTTGTTATTGCTGTTCCTTTTGTTTTTCTTCTGTCGCTAAGTAAAATATTTAGCCATTACAGAGTTCTCACACAGCAGTTTCGCTATTGTAATAAAAAAGATTTGCGGTAGCTAGGCATTACTTGAAACTTTAGCCAATGCCGCAAGAGGGCAGGTCACTTTCATTGGAAAATAGTTTGTAATTAGTTACGGTGGTTTATAGATAGTGCGGTAGAGTAGAAGGCAAAGCAGGGTATGTGAATAGAACGGTTGTTGAGCCTATCAGATATGCTAAATTACTCATATCTTTAGATTTGCGTTTTGAAAGTTGTAATAAAAAGAAAGGATGTCATGGTTCATCATCCTTTTTGTAGAAGTTCTATTTTACAAGTTGCTAAATGACAAGGTTCTCAGCAAATGAGATTTTTTGTCACTGCACGCAAGTAAACAAGATAGAGACTGCTCACAGCAATTTTCCAAAAACCGTCGATAGTCGTTTGATGCCTGTTTAAGTGTCTTCTCTGTAACCAATCGGTGTAACAGATATGATAGACAAAGTTGCAGTTGAAGGATTGGGGAACCTGCATATAGACCATTTATGTGCATACATTTTTAGACGCTGCTCTACTAAGGGATATGTGACAGGTGTTTAGATGATATAATTTTCATGAAGTTTTTTTATGCTCTCAGTGAGAAATCTATTTGATGACTTTTTTAAGTAATAATTTTTTTTGTGATTCGTAGCATCAAGTGATGCGTATCTGTTATGTAAATCAGGCTGCAGTTTTAGGCAGCTTCAAAAGTACTTGGTTATATCAATAAAACACACATTCTAAAACTTGTAAATGCTCTTTTCTGCAGTTGTTGTCCTAAAAAAGGCATTTTGAAGCTCGTTACTCGTTTAATTTAAGAGAACTTTGGTACTTGATTTATTCTAAAGAAACGTCAAAGCTAGTAGTTAAGAAAGCCACTGATTTCCAGCACTTTAGCTGCTGCTATACATAATGGTAGTATACAACCACACTTCTATATTTTTTAGGTTATAAAGGTATTTAACAATAATCATCTACGTAGAGGTTATATTTGTTATTGCAATTTACTGTTATAGGCCTGAATGCTGTTGTAAAGTGCGAGTCCCTTTCGTCCAGCCAGTGGTTACTGACGACCGACGCATTTTTCAAAAACTGCTGCACCATTCCGGTGTCGGAGTAAATTTAGAAAAAAAAGTTTTCACAAAGATACATGCACATCTGATGTTGCTGCCGACAACGACCTATTGCCAAATGTCATTCGGAAGCAGTTTTTTATCGTCTTTCTTGTTTACTCTTAATTGGAGTTTGAACATTTTTTGCAAAGTAGGCAGAAGATTGAAACTGGAAAGCATACACTGGATCGGATCTGATTTCTAAACTTTTTGATAATTTTAAGTAGTCGTTTCGATATGGTTGGATGGTCAATCAAGTATACTTATATTTCCCAGCAGCCAACTGTATGAAATAACATGCTTTTCCTAGCATAATTTTTCGATTTATTTTTAGGAAAAAGGTAAAGAAAGTTGCAGGCATAAAATTTTTCTTTTTTTTTTTCTGACATAGATTGATTTTATCACAATAACTGCAGCAAAAGTGAAAAGGAAAGAAAGATTGGTGACTGTTGGATGACAGCGCTTTACGTCAAAAAAGTGAAACTACAGCTCAATATTGGACAGATAGGCATTACGAAAGTATATTTCCGTAAAAATCTGTCACTTAAAATGCTCTTATTTCTTAAAAATTGCGTGTGAACATCCGTTCCTTTACAGATATAAAACTAAAAAGGAAATCTACTAGACACTCCTATAAATTGACGACTTTTGGTAATGACGGTGTAACGACATGGAGCGACCATCAGAGGTAAGGAAGATTTATGCGTTCTCCCTTGTCTTCTGTTTTTCTTTTTTTCCTTTTCCATGAAACATTGGAACCACACTGTGAATTTGTTTCTTCTAGGCAGGTTTAACATTGTCATGGCGGCTGTACTATCTTTTATGCTAGGGGCGTTGAGCATTTCTGGAATACTTGTAAAATTATTTTTAGTAGTCGTTGATATTCTATTGGGCAGGATTTGAAGAAAGCAGACTTTTGCGCTCCTAAAAAGTATTCAATTCCAAAAAAGGCAGAAGAAAATCGGTCGCACCTGCATTTTATTATTTTCAAGTATTGCTGATATTTTTTTGTTTACTTAATTTGCTTATTATTTTCTTTTCTTTCCTTTTTTCTTACGTCTGCCAAATTCAGTTTGGTATTCGCAATTCAAGTAAAATATTTTACCTCGTGTCTTTATGTCCCTAAATGTTTCCTACATTGTTTTTGCACTTGTTTCTTGAATTAGATGCGTATAAAGTCATGACTCTATATTTCAGATTCTGGACTTTGTATTGGAATTATTAGTTGTGTGTGCAAGGCTTAATTTGACTCATCTTGTTTCTAGTAGGTTTCCACTCATTCAGTGTTCATACAAAAGCAGTTTTTGTGATAGCATAGCTGGCTACCAGACTAACCTTACTGTGAAGACTTGAACAAATAGAATCATCTTTTTGTTTTTCGTTAATAGTAAAGTGCTTTTCCTAAAAAATAGTTAGTTATTCTTCATCTGTAGGTAAACTAGAAAACCAGTGGAGAAGAAGAGTTCTCTCTCTGAAAATTTTTACCTTCACTTTAAGGAAATTTATAGAAGATTTGTTACTGAGTTATTATTAGATTGTTTAGCTGAAAAGCGATGTCCAGATTGGTTTTTCTCTTTGTCAGAAATGCGTGTTTACTTTTTCGTTTCTTAATGAGTCATCCATTTAAAAGATTTTCTTATCGTTTTCTCCTATGGTAGAAAGGCTATGGAACCGAAAAGTAAGTGACTGATAGTGTGGCACATTGTTCCTTTCTCCTGCTAATTGTGCAGACTCTGCAGTGTTTGTAACTGCTTTGCAGAGTTTGTTTCATTTTTTGGAATACCTCAAGATAGTGTTTTTTTTTTTCTTTTTGTTGTTCATTGGCACTCTTCTTACCAGAATCTTTAAGATTATTATTTTTTTGAAATTGGTACTTGTTGAGCGTCATATTCTTTTTAGTTCTTTCCTGGGTTTGCCGTGAGGCCACTTGTTTTATTAAAACTGTCGCTGTCTCACGTTGCTGTTGAAAAAAATTGCTTTATTTGGTTTCCAAACAACCTCATTAACCTTATAGACTATGGAAGACAGAGGAGCAGTAAGCGTTTCGGTAAATAGGGATATTTATAGATTAGAGGATAAACCAAAGGTACTTTTTAGCCTGCCGATTATTCATTTATTTGTTTATTTATTTTTTGAGAGCTCCTTACAGTGGGATATATTTCTGATTATTTAGTCAGGATTTTGCATTTTCACCGAGAAGTTAGTTCATGAATTCCATCTTCTTATGTGGAATGAAACGCTTAAAAATATTTATTTGAAAAGATAACATTTTTCCTGTAGCTTTCAAAGAAGTTACAATTAATTTGTTGCAATGAGTACTAATTTAAGGCAAGATTGGGCCACCAGTTTGGTGAAGGTTCGAAATGCTTAAAATGTGACTGTCCGGGCTTAGATCTGCACTACTGGAGGTTGATTTTGGGCAGTTTCTTTTTTTTTCTTGCTTCTCAGTCGACTAAACGTAGGCTCTTTAAATTGGGTACCTATAAGCAGGGATGATGTTTATTTCCATTTGCTGCTGCTTACTTAGGGGACATTAAAACACTTATGGTAGAAGAATAACGGGTATTGATTTTTCAGAAAGATTTGCAAAAATTGCGGTCATGTGATGGATGACCACGACTTTCAAGTGGAACAGGATCATGCAAAACTTATTTTTGGTTAGAACGTTTTATAGCTTCATCCATATAAATAATTTTTTTCGTTTTCATCATGTTTCTTCCATCCGATTTCAAGTAATATTGCAGGCAAATTATTTGATACTACTGCGAAATATAAAATACGGCGAGGTGCAGCAACTGGCACAGGCTTTGAGGGGAAAGAAGGGGAAGGAATTGAAGGACTGTCTAAGAAGAAGAAGAAAAAGAAGAAGAAGCGTGGAAAGGAAGGTTTGGGAGAGGAGGAGGAAGGTGAAGGATATGAGGATGAGAGTGAAAGTGCAGAGGAAGAAAATGAGGCAGTAGGGGAAGAAAGTGATACTAAGACCAGAACGGTGATTCAAATGAAACTTGTTGATGAGTCCATGAAGGTCCATAACATAATCTGTATTTTTTGGTTAAATAGAAGTCTCTAGGCAAATAGAAAATTGATAATTATTTATTAAGCTATTTGACATTTGAGAGCATATGCATGAATTTTTACTTTTGGTTCCTTACAATTTTTTAAATTTTCAGGGAGAAATCTAGTTTAATCCTATCTCCCTAACTTGAAAAATTTTCATATCTATATTTTTGAATTAAAAAAACTTGCGAAACAAACTTTTAGATCTCTAAATGTTTTCGCTTTCTTAGCAGTTACTTTTCAAGGACTGTGCTTTTTAGAAAAGCGTTCCTGCTTCACAGTATAATGTGACCATCGAGAACACTGGTGAAGAGAATGCTATTATAGAATACACTTGGGTCCCGACCAGTGATAAGACGCTCATTGAAAAATATTTTGCTGCTCTCCCGGAAGAAGAACGCCCCATTAGCGGTACGGCGGGAGCTTTGGATAGACGTCAAAAGCTTCAATATCAGGTTAAGTCGTTCCTAAAAATTATTGATTATTGTTTTAGTTCCCTGAGAATTTTTATTTATTCTTCAAAACACTGCAGCACATTTGTAGTTTAATCAATGGACTGCCATGGAATAGTTTATTCTTGAGACTTTCATCTTTATTTTAACTGTCAGCTGTTTTTTTTTTTCTACCACTGTTTATGCTTTTGGCATTGTTTTAGCTTCCATATCATGACTCAAATGCTGCTGCTGCTAGATCACTAAAGACTGACGAGGACAGGGAACTTCATACGAAGTTTGTCACTACTATAAAGGAGAAGGTATAAACAATTTGAAATACCCTTCTTTTCTATCATTTTTTTAATTTCAACGTGTTTTTCTAAGTTACCTTCAGGTGGTTGGTGTTGGTCAGCTGATAGAATGGACAGAATCTGTTAGAAAATTGCGAAGTCCTGATTCAGAGGGTGTTGTTGGGGTAATTTTTCAAACGTTTCTTGAAAAAAAATTCTTCTTGATTTTTTTTTTAGTGAATTTTCCGTTTATAGTCGGTGTTATATTACAGTTTTATATTTTAGGTTTGCCGTACGTGTGGTGTAGCCATGAAAATTGGTGAAGTCGGTATAGTAACAGATCATGGCAAGAAAAGCGTAAATTAATTTGTGCTTTACATTTTATAAGTCTAGAATTAAATGTTGCTTTTATGTGTTGAAATGGAATACAAGTAATACTATGTGGGACCAATTATTTTTAATTCTGGCAGTGATTTTTTTTAGAAAAAGTTCTTTAGGAAATTTGGCACCCAAACTGCTTTCGTTGTCACACTTGTCAGCAGCGCCTAGTGGATATGCTATATTTTTACAAAGATGGTGATTATTACTGCGGCCGACATTATGGTGATACAATGTACCCAAGGTGCGCCGGATGTGATGAGGTAGCAGTTACAACTAATTTCTGAATTTTTTCAAGGATGTAGGCTTTAGAATTCGCATATATTTCACGTCTTGTTTTACAAAAGTCTCTCACCTAATATTTCTCAAGAAGTTTTGCACTTCTCCCCGTATCTTTTTTATACATTTCAAAGATTGCAAATAAAACTTCTGTTCTCCTTTACAAATTTTTTATAGTTAATATTCTCAAAGGAATATACATTTGCTGAAAGCAAGAATTGGCATTTTGACCATTTTTGTTGCTTTGGTTGTGATAAACAGTTGGGAGGGCATCGTTACATGGTTCGTGACGACCAGCCCTACTGCTTCGACTGTTATATGACGAAATTTGCTAAGGTAAAGTTTACTTGTTGTGAAGTACAAGTTTTTTGATTAAAAGAAACAGGTTTTTCAGTTGTCTATCTGTATACTCATTTCATTTTTCGTATGAGTTTGACGTTTTTATCTGTGGTTAGTCAAGCTCCAAAAATTTATTTATTCTTTAGTTACCTTTGCATCTACATTTTTTTGTTACTTTCAGTGTTGTCAAACTTGTCACGGTAAAATCGCACCTGACCAGCAGAGAATATCGTACAAGGAACTCCACTGGCATGCCAGTGGAAGATGCTTCCAGTTAGTTTTTCTTTTTTTGCTGTCGTTTTCTATGGTTGGGATGACTGGCAGGTAGAGGTGTAATGAACAAAAAGCTCGCAGTACAGGGTACGTATTATCAATTTATAAACTCTTTGGTTAGGTTCTTTGTGTACTTGTTCTTTACGATTATTAAAACATTGAGTGCCACTGAGTGAGTAATTCAGCTGCAAAAGTTATGACATCGATGAATTTGGATTTCTTTTGTACCCGGTATAGTTTTACTGAAGGCCAATCTTCATTTTATATGGATTCTAAAAGAACTTTTACGTTTATTTCATTCAAAATTTTGAGCAAAACAGTCAGGGCTTGGTTTTTAGAAATGAGATTTTTAAGTGCGCAGTAAAGCCTCAAAATATTTCGTTTATGTTTTTTTCATCAAATTAAAATATATAAGGGGGTCTATTTTTCAATTGGCACAGAACGAGTTTTGAAAATTCATTTATTTGACCCGAAATCAGAGGGGCGAATAATTTAAACAGTCATTTTTATAAGTCATTATGATCAAGTTCTTACTTTCGCAGACAGAGTCGGATAATTGTTTTAGCAGATGATAATGGATCATCGGCATTGTTATTGAATAGCAGGGAGGATACTCAAATTTACTAACTTTCTACCTCATTTTTCTTGTAATATGTCGTCTCCTGTTAGTACGAAGAGGCAGAACATCTATACTAATGCTTTTTCTCCTAGACATTGCTTGTAGAGCTTTAAAAGAGAATTTGAAGGACAAAAAGCGTTGAAACACTGACTACTGACAGCTGCGACACTATTCCGCACTGGTTCGCTTTTATGGGGAATTTATTACCATTAATAGTAACGAGTAATCATGAAAAATAAGAGGATGAGTATAATCAACCAATTAGGAATTTGTCTTTAATTGCCCGCGATTTTTTTAACAGCACTGTAGAATGTAACAGCTTAGTAGTCTGTGGAATGGTGAAAGTGCAACATTTTAGAGTCTACGACAGCTGGAAAAAGTTGAGGATGAAGATATGTGTGCTACCATAGCCATGATAAATTTTGATAGAAGGGGTGCTCGTAATTATTTAGGTTCAGAATAGTGTTAGCCTGCTTTTGCGTATTGATTAAGGGAAACAAGTTACTTCTGATGTTCCCTTTAAAAAACTGGATGCATAAGTCATATTAATTCTCTAGCTTTTTTTCCACCTCAACTTTGTCAAACTAATTAGCTGGATTGACGTTTCAGATGTAAGCGATGTCAAAAAGTCTTGCTGAGCCAGAAATTCCTAATAAAAGATCAAGAGGTATTTTGTAGTGCCAATTGTAAGAATATATATTTCACGTAAGTCTAAACTTTCTCTTCCTTTTTTTTGTTTTTAGAGGTTTGCTTCGATTTTTTTTGTATCTTTTTCAAAACGCGGAAGTTCTTCGAAAGTTAGTCTTCCATCTCACATGTCTTAACTGATTTCTTTTGGGGAGCTTAAAGAGTGTTCAATGAGTATTGGGCGCTTAACTTTCATTGGATGACGGTGTACTTTTTCAAATAAAAATAGCCATTTGTCTTTTCACATACGTTCATCTTTCTACTTTCAGTGGCCGAGTATTTCCACCTCGCTGAGAGGATCACTGTTTTTGCTGTCTATTATTATGAAATACTTTAAGGATAGTATTGTTTATGTGAGTGTAATAATGAGGTCAGTTTTTTGCGGTAGGTTTGCTTTAAATCTTGAGAATTGTTTTGATAATTTACATCGTACAGTTTATAACCGTGTGGTAAAGAATGTTTAACGTTGTTTATCAATAGAATTCCAAATTGTAAACTAGAAGCTTGAGGGGATTTAGCATTTCGGGTAATGTAGATGCTTCTTTATCAGAGCATCATTCAGTTTGCATTTTCTCCTTTTGAAATGTCAATTATACTTTGTTCCTATTTTTGTTTTCATCGTTACTGTATGTCTAGACTGCGTGTTCGCTCCTTATTTTACACATGTCTCTTATACAGTTTTGTTCTGTGATTGAATTCAAATTTCGCAACGTATCTCAACTCCTCATTTGGTTTTATAATATATAAATATGGTTTATGCCATTAATTTATACAGAAAACCTTGGTTTTACTTAAGTTGTTTTTTTAGTACAACTGAAGTTTAGCAATATCGATATCAAGACCAAGTTTCCTGAAATTACTGAATAAGGACTGAAGTCATACGGTTCTTTTATTTCTATAAATGAAATAGAAACCAAGGTTTTTTCCTTTTTTTATTGCTAATATCAGTTTAAAATTTCAAATAGGTGAAATCGAAGAATAGTTCCAGAAGTTCAAATGGTTTAATGAAATGTTTTGGTGTATTTTGAGCATCTAATAAATATTTTAAATCCACTGTAGTTTATTTTTGGTCAAATCGTTTTCAGGAGAAATAAAGCGTCAATGGTTTGCAAAAACTTGCCGCATAGGCTAGATCTTTTATTCTTTGTTACCCGTGCTGGAGTTGCTACTGTAGACGAGTAATGTAAAAAATTGTTGAACTTTATTTCGATGGTTTTGTCAGAGTAGACCATGTAGTTTTGTTTGTACGTACAAGAAGGTTTGTGTCTGCGAAGTCATTTTCAATTTTTTAGTTTCTGGGCAATAAGTAGCATAGTCTGTACAATGTTTTTTCATTTTATTCTGCTTATCGTCCTGGATTGTATTATGCTCTTATGTTGTGAAAGTGGATGGATGGTTGTATGAAGCTGGTCGTTTGACTGTGCATTTCTTAGAGTGTCATTCCGTTGATGTGCAATAAAAGGAAACATTTGGCCATTGTTGTTGATGAAATAAGGCTTTCTGTTGTGTGTCAAGTGGGAGGATTCTGTAGTGGTTTGACATTGGCAATTTTTGTAAGGGTAATGAAGTGGTGACATGCCAGTTCCGTTTGCTTCTTGGAAGTTTCTTGCTTAACTAAGATTGGATCTAGTATAGGTTTCGTTGTCAATTTCCTTTTTATTTGGAATACTATAGTGAGTGTGGAAATCCTCTTGAGGACAAATAGTGGTTGACAAAAGTTAGTGGCAATTGAGAGTTTGCATTTTTGTTTTGTAGTGTCCGTTGGATGTTTGGGAGTCGTAAATATTTTCTGTTTGGTCTCAAAGATTAGTGTGTAAGTTCATTAGCAGTTTAATTCATTTCTATATCTATTTATATTCAGTAGCTATTTGCGGGTTTTGAGCTGAAACTGTGGGTAAGGAAATGCATTAATTTCAAAAAAGGTTTTTATTTCATTGTATTGTTATGGTATTATGTTTTGTGCAGGATTTTTGGATGCGGCCAAGAAATAACACTTCTAAATAGACATTTGTTTACTCTACTATAGTAAATGGATAGTTTTATCCTTTTCTTTTCCTATGTTTCAAAAATATTCTAGTGATGGACCTTTTTTTGGGATTTTGTACTTCAATTTTCTTTTGTTTCCAAGTCTTACTTCACTGGCTAGAAGAAAAAACCCTTTAATTTGTTATGATTTTGATGCATTTTGTAAGAACATTAGCATGGATTTACTGGGGAATTATTTTAAAGTTGTCTGTGTGAAGGTGCTGAAATAGAAATTGTAACAAGTCTTGACTGAAACAGTTTTATTTAGGCACCGCTTACATCTGCGTAATGATCCTTCTTTACTTCGTACTTTATGTTTGTATTTGGTGAAAACTAATGGTTCAGTTTATCTCACCTGAAAATTTTTTTCAAGATAATGCTTTTGACACCGCTTTGATTATTACAGTAAAAATCCTTCTCAAAGGTACACGTTATTGTATTTTTTCGGCAATTCTCATGCCTGGTCACATTGTTAAATGACTTGTATGACGAAAATCAGTGACGAAACTTGTTTTAAGATTTGTTTTCGATACAACAGCAGCCAAAAACGGGAAGGTTGGGGTTAGAGGCTGTCTAAAAAACTGTTTCTTTTTGTATGATCAATTTTAGCATTTGGAAATGGCAGATTCTGGAATGAAAGAATTGGAGGTTTTATAAGATAGAATTGGTGAAATACTGTTGCTAGTTATAACAATAAATTTAGAAGGTTATTTTTTTTTTTTTCTTTCCTGCCATCTTACTGTTTTTTATTTTCTTAATTTTCATTCTATTACCGAAACGTTATACAGGATTTCGTAAATGAGCCGTTCTTTTGGGTTGCTGCTCCACTGAATATCTGTTACCGTTGCTATTTCAGTTTCGTATGTTCGTTTTTTGCTGTACTAGTAGTATTTGTATCTATTATAATTTGAGACTTTCTTTTCCATCCTTTTTGAGTACATGTGCTTTTCAGGACAGTTTGAAGGAATGGCTCTTCTGTATCTCAAAAAAAGGCAGTACTGCCTGAAAGAAGACTACTTTGCTACAGTAGAAATGATTCTGTTGTTAAATAAACATTTGGGGGCTTTTACATCGTCTTAATGATGTCTGCCTTTTTTTTTTTTTTTTTTTTTTTTTTTT